TGCATTTCTTTAAATAGCAGAGTGTTAATCTGTGCGTGTGTGTGAGAAAGATCAAATCTTCCATCTACTGATTCACTCACCAAATGGCCACATTATCCAGGACTGCTCAGGCCAAAGTCTAGAGCTAGGAACCCCATTCAGGTTCTCCCACGTGTGGTGGGAGCCCAAGTAATCGGGTTGTCTTGCCTTTGCAACTGTATTAGCAAGTAGTTGTACAAGAAGCACAGCAATTAGATCTTGAATCTCTGCTCATACGGTATGTCAGCATTCCAAGTGGTGGGTCAACCTACTATCCAAAAACATTGGTCCTTATTATTTTTTTTTTTTGTATTCTCCAAAATATTTTTATGTACATGCAAGCTTATTGCGCGTGTGTCTATTGTTTGTTACTTTCACTATTCCTATCTTCGTATCTTTGGCAGTCTTATAAGATGCTTTTTTTGTGTCTACTCTGCTTCCATGCAGTGAAAGTAAAAAATACAGGTTGAACATTCTCAATCCAAAGTTCCAAACTCCAAAACTCCAAAATCCTTCAGAATTTGGAAAAGTTATCAGTATTGACATAGCATCATAAATGGAAAATTTTAGTCTGTGAAACTTTCTTCTGTACATAAATTATCAAAATTATTTCATAATTTTGAGGCTTGCTCTATAGGGTGTCTATGAAACAAGTTAGTATTATTTTTAGATGTGGGTCCTATACCCAAGAGATCTCATTATGTCTATGTAAATATGCAAAAGTCTAAACAAAAGCCAAGGTATGTCTGATCCTAAGTATTTCAGTTACTGGTTACTCGAACTATTTGCTACAAAATAAAACCTGAGACAAGAATCAAGTGTTGGTGCTTGTATGGGGAGGTCTGATTGGAGTGCACCAAAAGTGACAGAAAAGGGGACTCGGAAAGCAGGAGCACAGTATGAGATGATTAATTAGTGCTGCAGGAAGCACAGGAGGCAGGGGTGTCCACTCAGTAGCAAGTGTCCTCTTCTCTCATGGGATGTCACAGCACCCAAGACACATGGACGACACCAAGCCTCAAAGACCTGGGTCAGGAGAGGATTCCTTATCTGATCAGCCCCTCCCCACTGTTAACATCCTATTTGGCCACACAAGGATTTCAATCCCCTGCAGCCTTGTGCTGTTCAAGTTATTTCCTTAAGCACCTGCTTGGCGAGCCAGATCCTGCGGCTTACGATATGTTTTGGATTCCATGATCCAGCCCAGAAATCTACACCCGCTTAATGTGAACGCAGGCTCAGCCGAGGGAATGGGGAGGGGGAGGCAGCATCTGCAGAACCTGACTGCTTGGTTCTCACCAGAAGAGCTGTGGTGGTGCCGAGGGTTGAGAGAAGAGCTGGGACTTGAGGAGGTGAGATGAGGGCACTCAACATGAAGGCATTTCAGCAGGTACAAAGGATATATTCAGGACACTTGAATAGAACCCACAATACAGTGAGGACTTTAAAAATTGACATTTCCTGGGATGAGGATATTGGTCAATGATGTATACTCGGGAGATCAGCATCCCATATTGGAGTTCCTTGTTCAAAAGAGCTCTACTTCCAGTTTGGGCTTCTTGCTAATTCTATACCTGGGGAGGAAGCAAGTGATGGCTCAAGTAGTTTGTCCTGTGCTACCCAGCCATATGGCAACCCCAGCTCAGGTACTGGGCTCCTGGCTTTGACCTTGCTCAGGTCTGACTATTGTAGGATTTGGGGGAGTGAAGCTGAAAATGAAGCAGCGTTCTCTGTGCTTTTCAAGAAAATAAAAATTGGAAAAAATGCTGGTATATTCTAATTACAAAGCTGTTTCTAAGAAGGAAACAAAGAAAACATACTTTTCAGTATGAAGATAATATAGCACAACTATACTAGACACTAAAAGATAAAATCAGATGTAATTTTTCATTTTTCCTAGATAATCCATGAATGAAGTAGCTATAAACCAATTATTTTATGTTTTTAACTCAAGTACCTACACAGACATGCTACATCTGACCTATTTTATAAAATGTTAATGATACATGGCCTGGTGTGGCATAGCATGTTAAGCTTCTGCCTTCAGGGCTGGGATCCCATACAGGTGCTGGTTTAAGATGCTGCTGCTCCACTTCTGATCTGGCTCCCTGATAAAGTGCCTGAGAAATCCTTGGGCCACTGCACCAACTCTGAAGACCTGAAAGAAGCTCCTGGCTTAAACCTGGTCCAGTCCCAGCCATCACAGTCATTGGGAGAGTGAATCAGCAAATAGAAGACCTCTCTCTGTCTCCCCTTCTCTGTAACTTTGCCTTGCAAACAAATAAAACTTTTTAAAGTTAGTTAATAACATTTGGAAATATGTTGAACAAAAGGAAAGCATGCCAATTTGCTTTCTTTTATACACTAATGCATGGTAGATGAATATCTAGAACATTGAGACTACACTAAATAGGTCATGTTTTCATATCCAAAAGGTAGCAAAGTCTAGGCTTAGGTTAAACAGATTTCTCACCTCTATGAATAGCTTAGACGCACAAAAATCATGGCTGAAAGAGTAGCATTTGATGAAGGTCTGTCATTATCAGGAAATCCGCCAGTAGGGTGTGCCTTGCCCTCCTCATTGTATTAAACAAATAGAAAACCTGTCCCCCCCACCCCCCAACTTCCTGTGGGGTTGAAGGACAAAGCAGTGCATGGTAAACTCCTTGAGAGCCACTAAAAAAAAAAGATGGGAAATAATATCACCACTTGCCAATTATAATTCATTGTCACCATATTGAATGTAAACATGCAAATATGTCTGTCTCAAAAAGAAGTCATATTGACTTTTTACAATGCTGCCAAGTTGATCCTTGCCCATTGGGCCTTGTACACATATGTGATCACAGCCCTACTGTAATTTCTCACAAGTCAAAAGGTATATGCATGTGGAAATTGTTATGGTAGTTGTCCAAGAGCCTCCTCCGATCACAGCGGAACACATACTTTCTGATGCTAGTATAAATGCCCATGTTGCTATTACTCTTCCACTAGTAGGTATTTGAGAAATTTTTCACCTTGATCAATTAGTTCTTTAAAGTTGAACATAATGGAGGACCAGGTCCATAATCCCCAGGGTTGCTTAGGCCCACCTGTGAGAACTGGTCCTCCTCAGTGGAAAAGATGGTGTAGTGGACATCAGGCCCTGATGCACACGAGGTTATGGCAGCCCATTGGGGCCTGCAGAGGACATCTGTTACCATAGCAGAGGAAAGTTGGACAACCATCCCAGCCAAGTGATGACAGCAAATATCTGGGCGAATGGAGACTCTCAGGTTAAATATTTCATTCAACAGAAATTGGAAGAGTTTCCTCATCCTTGGATTAGTGAGATCGACAGCATTTCAGAACTATCGAAACCAACTGGCCAGTACCCTTGCAGCACTGTATCCGAACCCTGGGTTGTTTTCAGGTGGCCGTTTCTCATCCCAGGGTGCTGGGGCAGTTGGGAGGCTGCGTACAGCTGCTCTCCTTATCTTCCCTTTTCTCCCAGAAACAGGAGGGAGTAATAGAAAAATTGGAAACAATGACCATACCCACTTTTCCCTAACCCTCCATCCTTTCCACCCTGATCAACTGTGATCAATTGTGTAAACATCATCTAAAATAATTTTTTAAAAAAATTTAAAAATGAAAATAAGGAAGCTTAAAAGCTGCGTTTGAAGCCATTTTTAGGTAATTTTATATTACTTAATGGTTCTCATCTTTGTCTTCTGCTATGAGCATGAATCAGGAAAAAACATTGGACTTTCAATGTCTTTAAAGGTAGAATCAGGGTCATGAGTGAAGGTGAGGCAGATAGAAGTATTGGCTCTAAATGTAGAATTATTTAAACAAGATTTATTTTTATTGGAAAGGCAGATTTACTGAGAGAAGGAGAGGTAGAGAAAGATCTGCCATTTGCTGGTTCACTTCCCAAATGGCTATAATGGCCAGAGCTGGGCCAGTCTGTAGCCAGGAGCCAAAAGCCTGGAGCCTTTGAGTCTCCCATGCAGGTACAGGGTCCCAAGGCTTTGGCAGATCCGCACCTGCTTTCCCAGGCCATAAGCAGGAAGCTAGATGGGAAATGGAGCAGCTAGGATATGAATTGGTGCCAGTGTGGGATACTGGCACTTGCAAGGGAGGATTAGCCAACTGAGCCATCACCTCAGGCCCAGAGTATAGAATTCCCAAACAACTGTAGCCTTGCAGCATGTGAATGACCTGTCTGCGGAGATGAGAAGCTCACTGTCCTATGGCATGAATGGGTTGCCTGAGTGACACCAAGAGATATTGGGGAAGACATTCCCGAGTGTTTTCCCCATGGCACAAGTGTGAGATGACTTTAAGTGGCAAAAACACTACAGTAAATTTGATTGCTGTGTTTATATATGTATTTTTATGCTATGTTATATCACTAGCAAATATGCCTTAATATATTAAAATGGCACTGCTGGTATTATAAACTGGTTTAAAAAATGTGCTTGAAGAGATTCTGCAATTCTAAATCTAAAGTTTCAGCCAATAAAAAGAGACTGTGAAACCTCAGCCTGTCATAGTTATTACTGGCAATTTAAACAAAAAATGAATTCTTGCATAATAGAGAGTTTGGATAGCTGGACTTTAGCATACAGTTCAAATCCCAAGAAAATGTAGTTAAAAGGAAAGGCCTAAGCCCCAGGTAAACAGCCATCCTGAAGTTATATTCAACATGGTAATTTGGTGACAATACTAATTACTCAGAGTCTCAAAGTTGACTGCAATAGGATCAAACCTTATGCTTTAAAAGAAAAACAAAAAAAGTATGCCACCAAAAAAAAAAATTGTTGATGGCATCCTCTTTAGCCATAATTGCTCACCAGGTCACTGTGGCAAAAGGGAATTGGTGGGACTTATCTTCAGACTCCTGTGGTCATCTGGAAACATGACTGCATATCATGACACCACAACCCAGTCCACTATATTACATATTTGCAACATAATATAGACTTCTGTACTGGAAATCAGAGGTGAATATTTATTTAATTTAGGTATAAATTTTACATGATAGTCATGGTGATATAAACATAGGCACAGATTTTTTTTTAACTCAGAAGATATCCAAGAATTACTTTCCAACTCCAGCCTCCTCCAATATCATGTAAAACAGAGTTCAATGATTTCAGGACAGTCTGTGTCACCATTGAAACCGTTCTTTCCAAGTCACCCAGGCAGGGTCAGCAAGCTCTGGGACAAAGAGAAGCATTTTCACTCCATCCTTTGCTAAAACCAATTAGATGCCTCCACCTGCGAACCTTAGGTTGGGGTTATGATTTTGTTTCTTCTGTTTAATTCAAGCCAGAATAAACAATTGATACACCCATATATCCATTGGCCTTCGTTAAGTCCCTTTGAAGAGTTATCACCATGAAAAGGACTCAATTAACATATAGCAACAAATGGGTAACTTCCCACAAAGTGCAAATTGAAATAGTATTCATTTACATTGATTTTCATTTAGGGACAAACACTGTTAGTGTAATATCTTGGCATTGAACACAGAGTGAACTAAACAGAGCCAAATTTCTCAAAAAGACTCAGGTGACTGATGCTGGCCAGACATGGTCCAGACTTGGGAACTCATGTCATCCCCATACACATTGAAGCAAGGTGAAAACTAATTCAAAATCAGAGAGAATGGATATTTGAAACTGGTTTATCAGAGTCACTCTATTATATCCTTAGAGGGAAAAATAATTCATAACACAATTAGTAAGATTTTCTATTGCTTGCTAAGAACACATTTTAATTTACTTCAGAAAATGCATTAATTTTATTGAAATATATTTTTCCTAAAATATAAATATTTAAATTAAATTTTTATAAATGTAAGAGAATGTAGATTCTGTTGATCTTACACAAATATTCATCAGTCCAAAACTTAAGTGATGAAGAAATAATATTTGTAATTATGATGATTTTAATTTGTCTATAAATATATAATAGGATCTTTGCAACCTAGACATGAGTAATTAACTCATACTTCATGTACCGAGCACCTTAGATTACATATTGTTGTGGCATTAATGTATGAATTTTAACATGTTATTTACAACATACATGTATAATTCTCTTGTATAACAACATTCCAGTGATTCTGAAAATATAGTGAAAAGAGTGCAAGATAATTTACAGATGCATGAAAGCTCTTCTACAGAGTTTAAGATTTCACTCTTCAGCATTTTAAAATAATAAACAAAATGTCAATATCCTAAAGCTGTGTCTTCTAAAGCAATTTTGCTAAGTACATTCATTTCAAAGGTGCCCATGAGAAAGAAGTTCTGTGAGTAAGTGTGCAGGAGGTACAGCAGATTCCCCCAACAAGAATCATAGAGCACAAAGCCGGCAAGGAGGCCCGCAATAGCAGACACTATTTAACATTATTTTAACTCAGCATTTAACAAAGACTTTCATTCCCAAACTCCTACCCTAACCTCACCCACAGAACATACCACGCAACCATTGCCCCTTGGAATTAGTGTCAAACAACACTTCTACTAGGGGAAATGCTAATTTTAATAAAACTTTGTAACTTGATTACATACATATCTGAGTGGGCAACATCATGTTCCTTTAAAACAATTTTACCTTTTAAAGCTCTTTGCATAGGTATTTGCTAAAATACAACTCTTATAAAAAGCACACAGGTATCACACGAAACACTTGTCTATGTAAGCTATAGGAGAGAGATGTATTAGAAATGCTTATGGAAACCCTAGAGCTAATTTTCATGGTTTGAAAAAAGCAACTCAAAAATCAAAAAATGGCTGCTATTTTTAATGAGTTAGTCTTGAGAGATAAAAGCAAAAGCATTACATCAGTGATGTGCTATATTCACTATCTGAAAATATTCTTGTAGAAAAATATCAGGACACTGTGTTATTTCCCTGGAATTGCAAAAGGGCTGCAAATACTACCAACAAGTTTGATTATAGCACTGGGTCCTTATGTAAAACCCAATATCATCCAGAATGCAATGAGGCCGCTCTGGTACTCACTGGAAAACACATGCATACAAGCACAGGCAAGAACAAGGGGTCAATAAATTGCTCAGTACTTCCACTGGAAACCATGAAACAGGGATAATTAGCTAACCCCAAGCCATGAGTTGTTATATATATATAGATGACAACCTTTTTTAAACACACACACACACAATTTGCTTTGTATAAATAAAGCTATCACTCCTGGCCAAAAGGCAGCAGGCCTTGGTTTAAGTGTAGTTCCAGAGTGAATCATGTTTTGTGCATACAACTCTTCAACAAGCTTTGCAATTTCAGCCGTCTACCTTGGCTCAGAGTTCTGCTGTGTATGAGACCAGTATCTGATGCTTTATATAATTCCTGCTCAGCATATGCTAGTGAGAATGTTTCAGAATCATTAGACATCACTCAAAGACAATTCATTTTAAAAAAAGAAAAGAAAAACAGCTGCTTTGTACTTAAATAAAAGGTGGATGTCTAAGAGTTTTCTTCCACTCTCAGAGAAAGTCAACCTGAACTAGGAAATAAATCACAATAAAATGAGAGATCACCGCTACAGGGTAAGAAGGGTGGGAGGTGAAAATGTTCATTTCTCATCTGCTCAGCCCTCGCTTACTTAGGTGGACCAGTTGCCTAGAAACTGGTACACTTCAGACTGCACATGCTGTTCTCATGGTCTCTTCCTTGGCTGTTATTATGTAAAAACTATGCTGTGGGTTTTTCCAATTGCCCTCATCTCCTTAGCCTTCTACTGTTCTACTGTTCCATTCCTCACGGCACTGCCTTAGGATACCCCTTGCAATTGCTGAAGCTGACGGAGGAGTCTAGGACAGTTCCAGGTGACTCTTGAGAAGTGATGCTGATGGTGGCGTGCTCCACCTGCACACTTGCTCACTTTGGATGGTGTCTGGTGTCACAAGCCCCAGTGGGTCTGCAGCCTTCCTCTTCTCAAGAGAAGCAGCCTCGCTATTCAGGCCACCAAGCCCAGTCTTGTGATCTTAGCTGACAGGAAGGAATGAATGATGAAAACAATTGGCTTGGGACAGGAGTGAAGGTCCAGTTGCTGAAATTTAAAGAGAAGAGAGCATTGAAAGATTTTAAATGAATGCTTCATGCAAAACAGTGATTTACACATCAAACAAATCTATGGGCATTTCTTACTTTTAAGTGTTAACTGGAGCAATTATGTTTCAAAATCATTACCCCCAAAGGAGATAAAGAAATATATCTTTGAACTTATTCTTTACATCTCAATTTTTTTTTCTAAAATAGGCTCTGTGAAATTTATAGATACTATTACCATAAATATGGATGCTGCCCTTCTTTCCGAAATGATTCCTTTTGGTACCTCAGTAGTGATCTTTCTACTGGGTTTTGGATAGCATGAAACAGTACTGAATTTCACATCTGAAGACTAATTGTGAGCTGTGGTTCTGATACTTTTTGATCTGTTATCTTGAACAAGTCACTTAAAACTCTTCTGATCCTATTAACTCCAAGGGTAATTGGAAAATTACTTAAAATACAGGGAGGCAAATGTCTTTTATAGCAGCGAAGTCACTGGTTGGGAAGCCTGCCTTCCATATTGGAGGGCCTGAGTTCAAGCCCAGGCTCCACTTAGCATACAAGATTCTTGTTAACGTGTACCCTGGGAGACAGGAGGAATGGCCCAAGCACTGGGTCCCTGCCACCAATGTGGAAGGCTTAGTTTAAGTTGCTGGCTCCTAATGTCAACTGACTTTAACCCCAGCTGTTGATGGCACTTGAAGCAGTGGATAGGAACTAACCCTGTCTCTCCAGCTCTCCAAATTACTCATCCGTAATTTAAGATGCTGCATGTGAAAATGCCTTGTGAACTCTCACCAGGAGAGCCAAGCCAAAAAATGTGTCCTTGCTGCCCTTTGCTCTTCAGCTGTTATCTGCATGTAATGCCGCATGGCTGTGAGGGGAGTTTCTAAGTTTTTAGTGTTCTCAACATGAGCCTCTAGAACTCAGGACATGCAAGACATGTGGCTCATGCCTGAGAGTCCTTCCGGAGTTGAATTTTATTACCTAATACAGTTCAGGCAAAATAAGAGGGTTCTCTGTAATTGGAGCATATAATGCATCAACAAATTAAGGCTGTACTAATAGAAAGTACCGTGCTAAATATTTTCTATGCAGTAACTTTTTAAACTCTCTCCAAATATCAATATTAGTAGCTGTTGCTATTATCTCCATTGGTAATATAGGCAAGCTGTGAGTCTGAAAATGTGTAAAACTTACTGAAATTGTAGCTTTTAGGTAAGGAAGTAGGTGATCTTTAATGTTCCTTCCAAAATTTGTGAGTAACATAATACCATGTTTCAATTTGATGCCAGAGCCAGGGCTTGACCATGATATTATGTCACTCACAAATTTTGAAAGGAACATTAAAGATCACCGACTTCGGTCCCTGTACTTCATGGATGGGGACCCTCGGACCCAAGGGCGCTCCAAGACAGCTGCTGCAGTAGCTGCACACTCAGAGGGGGAGCCTGGGTTTTGACCTCCAGTTTATTGCATTTTGTACAGCTCATCTCTGCACTGCAAGCTCCTCGTCGCCTGCCTCCTGGGATTGCCTGCCTGCACACTGGGGCTCTGTGTCTGCGTTGAGCTTATCAACTGCATATATTGGCAGTAAAAAAAGAAGAAGTCCTTGCTAAATGTTCCACATCAGGTTGTGATTACAGGCACAAAGGCTAAAATTTAGACCTAAGTGATTTTTCTCAGGGACAAAAATAGCCTTGCATTTTTCTAAGGCAAGGATAAAACGGAAGACCGATTTTGTCTTCTTTTTTCACTTTGCTGGACAGTAGTCACCTCTAGGAAAAAGTGGTGTGATTGGTTAGGACAACAACTGAACTGGAACTATTCTTAGTAAAATGGACATTCAGGTCACTACCTTATTTGTAAACTGGTGATTCCAGCTGAACTTATTGACTGAAACACACAAATGAAACCCATTAAAATTCTGCAAATTCGTCTTAAAGGTTAGAAAAATGGCAGCTAGAAATAGTTTGGAGGGGAGTACAGACAGTTGGGAGCACAGGAAAGGGAACAGATTTCCTGGCCGCCCGTGGCATTCACAACAGGAAATCTAGTGCTGCACTAAGGACAGCAGAATCATCCATAATGGCTGATTGTGGGTAAGGCTCCTGTGCGTGACACCAGCATCCCATATGGGCTCTGGTTTGTATCCTGGCTCGCCGTTAAAGGCCTGGGCAAAGCTGCATAGGATGTCCAAGTGCTTGGCCCTGACAGCTATGTGGGAGACCTAGGTCCTGCTTTTAGCTCCGGTATTGCCCAGCTCTGGCAGTTATGACCATCTGGAGAACGAACCAGCAGACAGAAAATTGATCTCTCCCTGCCCTCCTCTATACATGTTTGTATACACAAAAACATATATAGCTCCCTCTCTAGCTCTTTCAAATAAATAAATAAAGCTCCTAAAACTTTAAGCCAAAAAACCCTAAGACTCTTTCTAGTGTGACCCCATCCTTTTCGTTTAGGTGGCACCTGCTGATAGCTCTGGATGATTTCTAGAAAGTGAGCATTTGTATCCCAAAGGAGAAATAACTGACGCTTCTGAGGAGAGACAGGTGCAGAACGATGAGGGGCTGTGGAAGCCAGTCGTGCAACGGGAATTACCAGGGCCCATGCTGTGGATTAGCGCTGCTTACGTCCTGGTTGCTCCATTGACAATCTAGCTCCCTGCTCATGTGCCTGGGAAAGCAGTAGAGAACAGCCTGCGTGTTTGCACTCCTGTACCCGCACAGATATCCTGAAGAAGCTCCTGTCTCTTCGATTTGGAGGAGCCCAGCTTTGGCTGTTGTGGCTGTTTGGGGAGTGAAAGAGCACATGGACACTCTCTTGCTCTGTCTACACCTGTCTGACTCTGTAACTCTGCTTTTCAAATATACCAGCATTTGCCAACCTCAGTTTCACTCACTGCTTTCTACATTTCCTGTCTGAGTAGGAGTAGTCACAGATATTCATTGGCATTTTGAGGAGGAGCCATAGAACAATTGTTACCCAGTCAAGGACTTCTTTTGACATTCTAGAATTTGAATGAGATGTTGTCTTCCTGAGATGTGAGCAGTTCTCATTCTTTCTGTCACACCCTTCTGATGACAGTTCCAAGGTTCGTGGAAAAATAATAAATTTGAACTCAACCATTGGTACGAGAAGTACAAATGTCACCTTAACTGATAAATTGCCTAATTTCGTTGGATATTATTTGATAATCAGCCCAAACTTGCGTTCCTCTGTGGAGTTCTTGGTTTCTTTCTGTTTTTGTTCTGGATCCCTCCAATTCTGTCATTTACCCAGCCCGTCCTTCTCCCCTCTGCTCCATTAAGAACTGCCTGGTAGCAGGGTCTACATGGTGTCCCTCAACGCATTCCTGATGCCTTGCAAGATGATCAAGCTATGTTAAATACCTGTTAGATTTTTAAACTAGTAAAGCAATTTGATAAGAATTTAATGTCAGTGTTTTCTTTCCTTTGCTTCAAATATTTGTGTACTTTTCAAATGGAAAATGAAACTCAAGGAAAAACTTACAGTTCTCTGAATCTACTCATTCATTTTTTCCAACAAGCAAATAAGACCTGGCTTGGGCCTGCAAATGCTTTGTGAAAAGTATAAGGCAGTATTATGTTTATGAGTCATTATAGGTTTGTTACAAAATGAAATACATGATGTCACACTGTCAAAAACACACTTACAAGCTCTCCTTCTTTGCCACCAAAATCTAAATAGAGCATCCTGATTCCATCATCTGAGGACATTTTCAGTTTCTCATACGGAGACTGTATGATTGTCTTGGCAAAGGCACCTTCCTGAGGTTCAGTGGTAATAGAAAATCCATTCTCATAATGTATGGTCAAGCGGCACTCCTGGTTTTTATAGGTGCAAGCTAGGAGAGAAGCCGAGGGGAGAAAGTCCCACGTTATCAGTGAAAATCAACCCAATTTCCCAGACACTTTAATGCTTCCAATGTTTTCAGTCCCGACGTTGGGACAGGCACACGTTTCATATTACATTTTAAAAAATAACAATAAATTGCCATGAAAATAGTCTTAGGTTGGTTTGGGTTTTATATTTAACTGTCTCCAAGGAATTAATGAAAGGAATTTCTTTTATTGGGACTCATTGAATGTCACCTGATTGCAAGCCTTGAGCTGCTGTAAGACCGCACATAGCTGGATAGGCGTTCCTGCCTCCCTTGGCCAGATGGGCCTTGCCTCAACCAGATGTAACAGGCATTTGATTTGAAATAAGAAACCTCCGAATCATCATCATCACCCTACTCTTATTCCTACACACACACACTCACACAATTACTCATTCACACACACATATCAAAAGTCATATCTGCTATTTATAGAAAAAAGCAAGGGTTACATCACTCAAGTTAGTAGATGTATTGTTTTAATGGCTTAAAACAATCGAATGAAGCTTGCTTAGACATTAAAGGAGTGCTCTTTTAATTTCCACGAGGCTTTTGGGTCCTGCACAGACATCACAGACATGGCATCGTCCATGAAGGATGCAGATTCTTCCCACTGGTCCCCAGGAAATGCAGAAACCTCAGGCGTGCTCTCTCTGATCCAAAGGAACTTGCTAAAAACTTTCTGAGAATGTTAGGCACCAACCTTTGTCTAGACTTCTTAACTGTGTTTAGGAAACACATGTGACTCTAAGCTTTAGATTCAGACAGGTGGACTCCCACTAGCATCCGAGTTCCATTTAGGAAGTCTTGTGAATAGATGAAATCTTCTATCAAAAAAGCAAAGGTTACTCTGTATTGAACTGTTTTTTTTTTAAACTACATAGAATGCCACACTGTATGAATGTGGCAAGTCAGGGACGTGGGCCCTGATTTCCTAGTAGATGACTTTAAGGAAATCAGGGCATTTTCCTTGCTGGGTATGCTGTAAAGGAAGGATGTGGAGGAGGCAGGAATCAGAGTGAAGGGCAGTGCTGCCTGACAACTCACTCTGTATCGTCATTACCTCCACTCTGCTTTCTAAGATTCTGAGCTTCACCTTACCACAAGCTGTTAGGGCAGAACTTTTACCCCAACTTGGCAGATGAAAAAGAAAAGAAAAACCTCAAAGAGGTGAATGAACATTATTACACTCAGTCTATTCAGCTTTCAAAATTCAAGTTATTTTAGTCTACCCATGTCTTGCTCTCATGCCTTGATGCTCTAGACCTGGAGGGATGTGAGGAGGATCCTGGGAAGAGGATCTCTTATGAAGAATGACAGAATTTAAGGGAAGACATGGGGACCTTTATGGCTCGCTGAATGAGGCAGCTTTTGATCCAAGCTCTGATGAAAACATATTCTCAGTCCCCTGATTTACTTCAGGCATCTTCAACTTGCAATAAAAATCTCCACCAGATGTGTGCTCCCTAGTAGGTCTGTGATTCCCCCGACTCTGGAAAGGGCCCACTAGACACTGCCCTGTGCCACGCTCTAAGGCCAAAGGTGATCAGTGACAACAGCATAGAGTCAGTGATGACTTCTCACCGTGGTACTTCTTTTTTGTGTTTTTTTTTTCAAAGAGACTGCAGAGTGATGCTAGGCTTGCCCTTTTTTAAGATTTATTTTATTTTTATTGGAAAGTCAGATATACAAAGAGCAGAGACAGAGAGGAAGATCCTCTGTCCGATGATTCACTCCTCAAGCAGCTGCAACAGCCAGAGGAGCTGTGCTGATCTGAAGCCAGGAGCCTGGGACCTCCTCTGGGTCTCCCACGTGGGTGCAGGGTCCCAAGGCTCTGGGTCATCCCTGACTACGTTCCCAGGTCATACACAGGAAGCTGGATGAGAAGTGGGGCCGCCGGGATTAAAAGCAGCATCCATATGGGATCACAGCATATGCAAGCTGAGAACTTTAGCCACTTGGTACTTCCCTTTTTTTTTAATATCTTTCACCTGCTCTAAACACACTTTTTATTCCTTATGTTTGAGCTTGAAAGTTATACCATCAGATATTCTGAAGTATCTGTGATTATTTTAATTCTAAATTACCTCACTGAATGGTATTTCTGGCCTTCATATAATGACCTTTATATAATGAAATCAGTTATCTGAAGATTTTCTCAATCTACACAGGATAAATTGAACACATTATCAAGTTAATTGAAGCTCTGATTAAAACAGAAGCCCCTTTCCGCAACTCCCTATAGGTATCTTTCAATTTGTAACTGGCTTACACCTTTGACCATTTCCATAATTTCTTGTCTCCCATCAGCCAGCCAGCTCAGTTCACAGAATTCTTTGTTATTCTCCTTTGGATAATCTATCAAAACCCTCATCCATTTGCCTGTCAAAAAAAGTGCTGCCTACAAAGATAAAAGGATTTCACAAAATTTGTACAATATAAACTCAGCCAAATCCCTGTGGGCATGGCATCTTTATTCTTTCCTAGAACATGTTTTATAAGTGTTGCATGGAGTCTGAATTTCTCTAGCCAAACACATCCATTGTCATTACATAGAGTATCGAAATGACAGGGCCTTTTCTAACTCTTGGGTTTAAAACTCTAGTATTTCTTGCCATAATGGACACACGCAACACAACAGAAGCTTCTGGGGTGAGTATTTAGGCTAATAGTCAAGGCCACAGGTTAGGACATAGGGTTCCACATTAGAGTGCGTGGGTTCCAGCTATAGTTCCTGAGTCCAGCGTCGCCTTGCAAGGCTGCAGGGGATGGCTGTCACCCACGTGGGAAGTTTAGACTCTGAACCCCAGACTCCTCCTGGCTTTGGCCTCAGCCCTGTCCCAGGCACTGTGTACATTTTGGGGGTGTGCACTAGCAGATATGAGCTCCTTTTAAATCTCTATTGATCTGTTAGAGAAATAAAGTTTTAAGTTAAAAGATTCAGGGTCATTCCCAAAATGATTGCAATGATGAGGGGAAACTTGGAGGCTCTGATTAGTTGTAAGGTGACTGCAAACAAGACGCTAATTATCTTAGATGTTGCAGCGGAAATTGTGTGGAACTTGTGGATTTTCATATTTCATGTCTTTCACAGAGAAAGCTATGATATGGCAGTGTGGATTTCATCTTGTAGCACACTTGTCTGTGGAAGTCACACCCTTGTACATTACAGCTTAGAGAAGTCTGTGGTCCAGCAACATCAGTACCGTCTGGGCTCTCTCTTACCACCTGTAAATTCACAGGTTTCACAACTGCTGAACCTGAATCCACCATGGGTAGAACATCTGGTTTTAGGCAAGAAAGCAGAATGGAAGAAAGTGGATAAGAAACTGTAAGAAGCGACCCAATGATGCTCAGGCCTCTCTGGAAGACTACTGTCACTAAAGTTCTTGAATGAGTGTCTCCCAGAGCCCCTGGAGAGGCTGCTTATAGATCTCAGAATCAGAAATTCATCATGGGTTTAGGATCAAAAACTACGCTTACAGACACTGTTCACTGTGCATTGAGCTGCCTGATAAAGAATATTGGGTTAGATATACAGTTTACTTTTGAGCCCAGTGTGATGGCTCAACTTTCTAATCCTCCACCTCCAAACATTGGGATCCCACATGTATTGGTTGCTTCACTCCCCATTAGCTATCTGCTTATGGCATGGGAAATTAGTAGAGGATGGCCCAAAATGTTGGGATCCTGCATCCACAGGGAAGACCCAGAAGAAGCTCCTGGCTCCTGGCTTCAGATTGGGTCAGCTCCAGCCATTGTGGCCATTTAGGGAGTGAACCAACAGATGGAAGATCTTACTCCTTGTCTCCCCTTCTCTCTATAAATCTACCTTGCCAATCAAATAAACAAATCTTTTAAAAATACAGATTTTACTTTAATAAAAGTATAAAGTTTTACAGTGTGCACTGTGTTTATGTCACTTTATATTCATATCATTTGGTCATCCTTCCACTTTCTCTTTTCCTCAGTTAAAACAATTAAATTATATGTATATTTAGATATATATTATTGATATGTATCATCATACTATCCATGGATCCATCCACTTGTCTATCATCTATACATTTGGATAAAGGCATGAAAATTATTTATCACAGTAGCCTGAAAAGAATTGCTGGTCAGAGCTGTTTGTTGGGTCACTGGCATGAATAAGAATATTCCTGTCTCTGTAGATGCTACGATGAATGAAGAATGGACTTCACAGTGACAAAGGCTACATTTAAAGTCTGTCATTTACTTTGCAAGCGTCTTGAGCTTTCTTAAAGATTTTGCAGGGTAGGTGTTGGCCACTGCAGTTAAGACAATACTGGGATTCCCCATGTCCCATACCAGAGTGCCAAGGGTCAAGTCCCGGCTTCTTTGCATCTGCTCTAGCTTCCTGCTAATGCGCACACGGTCTTATAGCAGATGGTAGCTCAATTAGCCGGGTCTGGGTCACACATGCAGAAGATTGCGAATCAGTTTTTGGCTCCTGGCTTTGACCTGGTCCAATCCTGAGTTTTGTTGGCATTTGGGGAGTGAACTGCCTTTCAAATAAAATGAAAATAAATAGACAAAAACCACTCTACCTGATTTGTCAGGCTGACCAAACTGTGAGGATTAGATGGGCATGTAATAAAGTGTTGTGACCCAGGACACACACATGCACAGGGGAACATTCACCCCACATACCCCATCACCAAAATTCTACAAAGTAATACGAAAACATTTTCACTAGTATCTCTAGCCTATCATATTTTCCTTTAAAAGATGTTGGTTTTGACTCAATGAATTGGTTTCAGGATCCATAAAAAGATTGTTTCTCATAGTATGGAAATAACTAAGTCACACACAGTACCTGTACACAGCAGATTTTCAGGAAATAGCATAGTGTAGATGCGACCTTCTTCCAACACTCATAACCCAATCTACCAACAGCTGGGCCTCTCTGATACCTCCACCTGGCTGGATCCACTGCACTCACCCAGGCTCCTTCCACACCACCCTGCCAGTCCATTGCTGTGCATTCAGGGGGTCTTGGGGACTCTCCCCTGGGCTTTTCTTGTATTCTTCTTAACCCTGCCTGGAAACCTTTGATTCCTGTCTGTTTCACAGCCTGAGTCTTCTGATAATTTCCATGAGCTTAGACTTCCAAAACTTGCATTCTGTGACAAATAACTCAGGACCAGTTTGTGTTGTTAATAAGCAAGAACCCCACCCACCAGTTCATGCCTCCACTTTCATTCCTCTGAGAAGCCATTCAAAACTGCAAACCCAAGTTACCAACTTCCCAGGAATGAAAATATGGATTTTTATAAGTCAAAGAACATAGAGCATGTAGAGCTTTAATTTAGAGGAATCTAAGTTTACTTCTGGAATTTCAAAGGACCCCAAATGTACAGGCATGGAGACTACGTGGAGGCCACGTTCAAGTACAAGAGGTGATGGAGTACAGTTGGTAGCCCATAGCCTGCAGGACCCACCTGTGGTGATTTCAGTAATGAGTTCGGCCGAGTTGTGGCAACCCTGCACTATGCTTCTTGTCCAATGGGAGAGGTCCCTGCTGGTCTCTGCCCGGAAGAGATGTGTTTCAATCCCTTGCCTGGTACCAGTGCGCGTTGCAAAAGATAGATCCACACCAACCTGGGGTGATCCCTTCCCTGGACCTGAATGAACCAGCCTGGATAGGGGTGGGAAAAGAAAGAGAGAGATCATCCAAATGAGTATCATTTTATGTACCTGGCATGCCAGTTCATAAAATCCCAAAATGGTGATGGCAATTTGCTCTCATTTTTCTGATCTGGAAATGAGGCCTCCACCATTTCTTGCTCTTCACCATGGTTTTATATCATCTCTCCAGTGGCAGAATGCACCCAAGAAATATGCATTGGCTAAATATACAGAGGAGTAGATGAATATGACTTTAACCTATATAAACTCAATCATCCTCAGTTACAAAGAAAAAGAAATAAGCGGGGGAAAGGATTTAATATGCTATAAAGTTGCTTCAAGTATTTCATAGCTAAGTATGTATGCAAATAAGCCATGAATATAGATGGGAGAGTGAATCTGTTACTTACTGAGCTTAACTTAGTCAATCTGCTTCCACTATACCGGGATGACCTTACTGTATTGAATGTACTTTGGAGCATGCTTTTTTCATACAGAACACCTCCAAATGCAAGCAAGCAACCTAGACCTCAACTGAAGCAGGTATATGTATATTTGTTGAACTCTGAGAAAGTTCTAGCATGCTGGAATTCCTCAGACAAGTGGAGAATTGCACTTGGGATATTTAAGGATTTTTGCTGTTATTGTTTAAAGATTCATTTTTTTTTATTGGAAAGTCAAATGTACAGAGAGAAAGATCTTATGTCTGCTGATTCACTCCCCAAGCAGCCACAATGGCCAGAGCTGAGCTGACTTGAAACCAGGAATCAGGAGCTTCTTCTGAGTCTCCCACATGGGTGCAGGGTCCTAAGTCTATCTTTGTGCCATCCTTGATTGCCTTCCCAAGCCTCAGGCATGAAGCTGGATGGGAAGTGGAGCTAGTCAGGACTAGAACCGGCACCCATATGGGATCCCAGTGCATGCACGGTGAGGACTTTAGCCAGTAGGCTACCATGCCAGGGCATAATGAAGTGTTTTTAAGAGCTCTTACTACACAAGATTTTCACACTGGCTTTAGATCTTACCCTCAGCATAAAAGTGACTTACACACTCAATGATTTCTGAAAAATCCACTTAAAACAGGAAGGCTTCAAGTGCCTCCTTCTGAGGCAGCAATGGTTCCTACTTCTCTTTGTCACCTTTAAACTCTCATGTTCTCTCTTGCTCCTTGATATCTCAGCCTCCTCTTGGGAAACCCTCATATCAATCATTTGCAGAGCAGCATAACTGTAATTTAGTGAATGATACTTCTCTCTGGGGTATTTGCATGTTCAACCTTATCTTTTTTGTACAGAAAGCAACACTTTAACATTTTCCGCAGAAATTTCAGGTGTCTAGCCACTTGGTGGATGGGATATTTATTTTCTTAGGTAAAGAGCTGGCTACCTTTATAGTAACCATTACATAAAGGAAAGTCAAGTCTTTATTTTCTTTTGTATACCCAAATACTATGGAACAAGTCAACAATGTCATAGAATATATTATACATATAGTCTGCTAACGTTCTAGCAGTAAGCTTGTTGGCTGCCTCCTAGAGCTTCCCTTTACTTCCAGGAGGCCAGTTCATCAGGTTGGGAGACTTTGCAATGCCAGGTTGTGGAAAAGCTGAAGCTTCTTTGGTTGCATGATTCACTGAAGATAGAAGACTAGCACACTGAGAGGTGAGACTACATCACAGTATGCGTCTCTACTCTCCAAATAAGAGATGGACTCCCAATGAAATTGTGAAATAGAGCTGAACAATAGGATGCTGAACTTTATATCACTGCCTATACCTACAATGTCAGGATACACTTAAATAGCAGAATGATGGACTTATGACTGTTGCTGAAAGAGAGTACTATTATAATAATATATGGGAAACTAGTTGGGGTAAGAAGGTATGGGGAGGGTAAAAGGAGAAATCCTTGAGCCTATTGGAACTGTATTACATAAAAATACATTAAAAATCAAAGCCATAAAAAAATAAAAATTGTATAATTCGTAATAGTTAATACCAAATAAATAGTATAGTACATCCTGTTCCATATCCTTAATCTCTATTTTCTAAATTGAATAATATAATTCCTACTCAATATGATTAAAATAAAATATAATAACATATGAGAGGTCCTAAAAAAGTTAATGCGAAATGTATATAAAAAACATGCACTGAAGTTTCCCAGTTTCTGCACTAAAAATGATTGGTTTGCTAACTGCTCACAGGGGCCAGGCCAGACCTGAAAGCTGTGGATTCACGTCCCATCTCCCATACGTCTGGAAAGGACACATCACAGGAGCCATATCTTACTGCCTCCTGTGATCTGCCTGAATGGGAAACGAATCAAGAACCAGAGCAGGCAGTTTGATCACACCAAGAATCCCAACCTGCACTTCAATTGCTAGGCTGCACATCTCCTAACTTACATATTTATTCCTTGTCATCATAAACATTTAAAAATATATATCTTTGTATTTACAGTATTTGGTCCAGTTCTTGCCAAATCACAGTCAACTTGCAATAAGAACTGGCTCTCCTGAACTCTATCTGACATGAGTTTCATTCTGTATCCTCTAAATTTCTGTCCTAAGAACCTCCACTCTGTCACAATCCAGGGCCTGCACAAATACACAGTCCGAGGAGAAGACGTGCCACCATCATGCATATTGTCATTGTAAGATTGAAGGCAACAGGGCCTGGTGGCGTAACCTAGCGGCTAAAGTCCTCACCTTGAACGCACTGGGTTCCCATATGGGCACCGGTTCTAATCCCGGCAGCTCCACTTCCCATCCAGCTCCCTGCTTGTTGCCTGGGAAAGCAGTCGAGGACAGCCCAAAGCTTGGGGACCCTGCACCCATGTGGGAGACCCGGAAGATGTTCCTGGCTTCGGTCTTCAGATTGGCGCAGCTCTAGCCGTTGCGCTCACTTGGGGAGTGAATCATCGGACGGAAGATCTTCCTCTCTGTCTCTCCTCCTTTCTGTATATCTGACATTTCTAATAGAAATAAATAAAACTTTTTTTAAAAAAAAGATTGAAGCCAACAGCGACGGAGGAGTACAATTTGTGAGGAAAAAATACATTTGGTGTGTGAACTCACATTTGGTATATTTCCGTCTGGGCATGAGGAGCTAAATAACGAACAGAGCAGACAAGAAGAAAGACTGGGGTCAGGCTGGGAAATGTCATGTGCAGCACCCTTTGAGAGGGAGACCACATGTGTTACAGGAAGGAAGGGACCAGCCTCTGGAGGAAGGAACACGGGTGTCCTTTGCTGTTCGTCTCAATGCTAAATTCTGATAGAAAAGATGAGGAAATGTGGGATTTTCAACCAAGCAATCATGAATTACCTAATATGTATTTCAAAGAGCAAACTGCCCTCTGAGGAAAGACAGTCATGTTGTAATTGTTTAAAGACATAGGTATTGAGTTCATGATATGTACGGTATTTTGCATAAACATGGAGAAAAAGCAGATTGTCTTTCTTTTCTGCTACCCTGTATGCGCTTTAAAAACACACTGGGAGTAAGTGAAAAACATTAGATTCCCAAGAAAAACTCAGGGTGTGTATCATCTGGTTGGAAAATCACAGATTACGCGATATACATATGTTCTGTGGAAGTGAATTTACATGTGCTGAAAACGTCTAGCTATGTAACAATATAAAATAAAAATGAGGGAGCGAATCTGTTACAACATTAACCAATTTTAAGAGGATTTTGATTTTTTAAAAAAATTTTACTTAAAAAAAATTTGCTGAGGCCAGTGTTATGGCATAGCAACTTAACCTTCTTCATGATTCATGAGATGCTGGCATTCCCATAGGGAAAGCAGTTCACGTCCCAGGCTGCTCTATTTCAGCTCCAGCTTTCTGCTAATGCACCAGGGAAAGCAGTGAAGGATGGCCCAAGTGCTTGAGTTCCTGCACTCACGTGGAGGACCTGGAGAAAGCTCTAACTCTTGACTTCGCTCTGGCCCATTCCGGCTGTTATAGCCATTTGGGGAGGAAAGCAGCAGCAGAAAGACCTGTCTCTCTCTATATATCTCTTTCCTCTCTCTCTAACTTTGCCTTTCAAGTTTAAAAAAAAAGTTCCTTTAAGAAATATCCAACATGACTTAAACCATGAGGCTGAAATAGGCGCATCGCCTAATGTTCAGAATCTGTGGCTTTTGACTCAATGTGTCATACATGTTTGTTGATGTTGTATTTGCTCACCTATACCCTCCTGCATTTGTTTGTGTCTGGATTATTCTAAATTGTCTGAATATTGTTCCCAAAACCTGATAGCCACAGGCAATGACTATGGGACAGCCCTTCTCTGAATGAAGTTAACTGATTCATATGACAGGAAACCTACACCTGTGGCCTCATTTTTCTCTTACGCTGATCAGCTGGCCTCCAGTAAGTGAGCCAGGAAAGATGCTGAGGCCTACGAGTGGGAGTTATAGGATTTGTTTTCATTTGTGTGTGTTCCAAGGGTCACGGAGAAGCTTTCAGCTCTGTTCAAGTTCATTCTCCCCTCTGTCTTCAACTAAACATGAAAAATCACTAGGTCATTCATTCACTTACCATTCAATAAAGCTTTCACTATTTAACAACAGATAGACTCATAGATGTTTAACCAGCACTGTAGTGGACTGAATTTGTATGTTGAAACCCTAGCCCCAATTCAAATATGATTGTATTTGAAAATAGGGCCTATAAAGAGGTCATAAAGATTAAGGGAGGGCCTAAAGATAGGACCTTAATCCAACAGGACTGGGTCCTTGTAAGAAAAGGAAGAGACTGAGGATGTTTTTTCTTCTGTGTACTTACAGAGGCAAAGCTATGTGAGGCTGCAACATGAAGGTACCACCACAAAGCTCACCCCAAATCAACCCTAACAACAATCTGATCTTGAGCTTCTAGTCTCCACAACTGTGACAACTGAACTTCTATTGTTTCTAGTGTCTCAGTTTGTGATATTTTGTTCCGGCAGCCCAGATGAATAAGAAAAATACACACTCTACAGAAATCTCTCTCTCTCTCTCT